AATTTAAAAAAAACACCAAAACAAACCCAAACTACATGTTTGTTAAGCACTGTCGGTTTTAGTGCCTGAGAAACTCTGCATGTGTCTTCTTGGCTTCTGTTTTGAAGACTGCTGCTCTTTCTTCTGCAGTTTCACAGGACAGTCTTAAAGGAAGAGTGGAAATTAAATATCCCAGCCAGACTCTTTCGCTTATTCAGCCAGTAGGGGTGTGAGTACAATATTCTGTGGTCAAAGTGACTGTACTGAATATTGCCAAATAGGGATTTATTGGAGAAAAGTGCTCCGAAAGAAACGCAGGAGGCACTTGAGAGGAACAGAATGGCAGCCTAGAGAGAAAGGCTTTTGGTCAGGTGTTGCCTGAAAGAGGTAAACTGCAAAGGTTTTCCTTCTGTAAATATTAAGGAATAAAAGAAGGAAAGGTGTGTAATTGTCTGGTGTGGCTCCCTGTGGTACCAGAGCTGTCTTTGAGGTCTGTGAACTGCTTTGCTGCTATGGACAATATGTCTGGTAAGCTTCAGTTACTGTATTTTCTAAAAAAATTTCCATGTTCTATAGTAAATAAGGCAATGATTAAAAAAGAAAAGCTAATGTGAGAAATTACTGATCTGATCATCAGGACTGTCCTACTGGATCAGACCCATTTTACCCCATCTCCTATCTGACAGCGGCTGGTAATGGATACTTAGGAAAATAATGACATCCTAGAGCTTTCTCTGTGCCATGGATGGTTTCATGTATGGGTATTGTACAGCCTCTCTTCCTTCTGAGTTGAAGCTCTGAAAAACTGTAAAATCTCTCTCAATTATCCTTGTTGACTTCAGTGTCTTTTCTAGCTGCATTAGGCCTTTTTTAAGATGGGAAGATCAAGGTTGTATGCAAAATTAAAAATACATATTCCCCATGAATTTATTTTACAGCAATAGATTTCTCTTAACCTTGCCTGCTCTTCTGCAGACTTCCAGCCTCTGAAGTGTTTGAAAAAGTTTTTATTGTTAACTACTTCATTACTTTTATTGCTGCTGATGCTTTTAACATCAAAATAATATGAAGTCAGTTTATGAGGTCAGACTTTTAAATGTTGCACACATTTCAGATATTGCTAATAATAATTTAAATTTCCAATAATTTTGTGTCAGCTTTTCATTATTACAGGAAATCTAAAAGTCAACTTAACCTTTGTAAGAAAATTCCTGTCATCAAAACAGACTTAAACGTTACTTTCCAAGTATTGTTTATCTTCTAAGCATTACTGCAAGGTGTTCTCTTTGCTTAGATCTTATTTAGGTCTGAGTCTTATTAGCAAAATACGTAGATTCAGGGATTTTTTTCTTGAATGTTTGGTCATAAGGCTTTCCATTATCCGTTATGAGTAATGGCTTAAATTAAATGAATGTATGTGCTTTCAGCTAAGTCCCAGTGGGGGAATATATGCATGAAAATAAATTACTACAGTTGGAACTAATTAATTCCTTGATTGGCAGACTCAGCAGATAAAATCCTGAGTAATGTGGAATGTCTTTGTTTTCTGGCCTCAGTTAGACCTGGCCAAGAGCTGTAGTTACAACTTCTACTCTTCCACCTGACTTTGTCACCTGTAGGCAAGAACTGAAGACAAAAAGAAATGTATCAGTTTAGTCTCTCTGCTGTAATCCTAAACCATCCATGTAACCAGGCTGGGGCTGATCAAAATATCAGAGAGATTTGCTTGTTACACTGTCATAACTTCTAGCTCCCTGCCAAGTTGGCTGCCTTATCATGCCTGACAAGACTGCAATGGTTTCCTTAATAGTGTGGAGAACTTAGCAGGCAGCTGTGGCTAATCCCTTAAGAAAATGTTCTCCCACTGAGGTACATAGTGAAATTTGAATGCTGCAAATAATTTGAGAAAATGATTTCTTAAATTGTGTTAATTCTTGGTCTGCTTGTTGATGTGTAGGTACAGATACAAGTTAGTGTTACTAAGCTCCCGTTAGGAGCTAGGAACACAGCCTTAACTAGCACTTGTTGGTTTCTTCTGGTAGATGCAACCCCCGTTGGCATGTGAAAGGGGGGTTCAGTGTCCTGAGGCAGCTGGCCTCACTTCTGGGGACACGGTGGTGAGGTGTTCTTTTGTGAAGCTCATTTCCTATGTTACTGTGTCTGCTGCTGTGATATCAACAGGCGCAAGTTCACCTTTATTTGTGTAAAATTTGATTTTGTGAGACTTGAGTCTTGTCTGGGGAGTCTGTGCTTGTAGCCATACAAGTAAAACAAAGTGTGCCAGCTCAGTTTGTTTTTTACTGGTCAAGGTGCAATGAGTTTGGTAAACTATTTGCCAGGCACGTTTACTCTAGCAGAGAATAGCCAGTTAGGTGTCTGCCACTACCCTGAAGAAAGTCAACTCCCTGTTTTCTCTTACAGGGACTTCAGATTATTTACTTAAAATGCAGATTACGTCTTTAAAAATGCATGGATCTGCATATCTTTGTCCTGTGACAAGGATGACCAGTGTGTGCCTTTCCTCCAGCTCACTGCAGCAGGTCAGGGTTCTGTCTCACTCTTCATGTGCAAGAGCTCAGTTCCATCCCTGGCAAGAGACACTGAGCGCTCCTGCTCACCCCAGATTTACCACATTTCATCTCATCATGGAATAAATCTTGGCTAGGATGTGCTGCGTTTCCATGGGAATGATCCTTGGGAAGTGGTTGCAGAAACGCAAAGCTGCAGCCCCATTTTTGTCATTGGGACAATCCACAACAACCCTCAAACCACGACTGAAAACAACTCTGTTAAGCTGTCCCTGGGACTGTACCGACCCCTCCATCAGCCGGTGTGCAGCATCCAGGGCATCCTTGGTCAGTGCACTCCTACAAACCAACGCTCCTGTCGCAGCTGTTTGACTACAGGCACCCGGACGGGCAGTGTAAGGGTGAGGGACTGAACGCGGCTGTTCTGTTAATGAGTGTTCTGAGCTGGCTGCTGAGCACCCACCATGTGAATGTGCACATGGGCTGTGGCTTGAATCTAAAAGGTGGCTTCTGTATCCCACCTCTCAGTGTCTGCCCTCACCTTCCCCCTCTGAATCCTTCTGATGATGACACTGTGCGTTAGGAGACAACTGAAACTGGCACCACTCCATGCTGAAGCAGAGGCAAAGCTTGCAACAGCCCATGGCTGTAGGTCCCTTCTCGAAGGCAAGGATGTGCGTTAGAAAGACAGATGTAAAACTGTTTTACAAAGTTAAAGGACTGATTTGATAGAGAGCAAACTGTGAGAAAACAATGCATACACACTCCTGCAGCAGGAGGAAAGGTAACTGAGTTACGTATGTTATGTAAACATTAAAGGGATTTACATGGAGTTGTACATGTAGTTGTACAGCACAGAATTAGTATGGATTATCTCATACTGTACAGCAACTCTGTGTAAAAAGTGAAACAAAAAATAGAATTTTGTTGCTAATAGAGCATAGAGTCAAAAAAATTGGAAAAGATAAACAGTTGTTTTGGCTGGCATAGCTCAATGTCCCAAACAGGTTTGGGACTCTCTTATGAGGCTCCTTCACTTCTTTTCATTTGTGCTGTCCTCCCTATTTAGACTTGGAGATACTTTTTTTTGTTGTTACCAGTTTTTTTTATTTTCTACCATATTACTCTGCTAAAATATTTAACTAAAATGGAGAAATATTTTAAAGTAAGAAAAGCCAATTTTCAGTTAAATAGAAAACTAAACCACCAATATTTGCCAATACATAAGTCTGTATTAGTTTGGTAATAACTATTTGTGTCTGAAAAGCGTTAGCAGCTTGGCAGTGTTCCTTTAGGGACAAAACCCCAGTTACTTTCAATAAACACACTGCTTCAAAAGGCTTTAAAACACCATGTGACAGTGAAAGGTTGTGTTGTCTTCAGTGCTCTGATTTCTAATGCTGCTTTGAGTAGATCCTGAAAATTACTTGGGGTAGGAAGAAGAATGGTCAGTTGATGCACAGTTTGGTTGTCTTGAAACCAAGAGGTACATACCAGTGGATACTGGTATTTATGGCTACTTTCCCCTGCCTGATAACTTGACTTTCAAGTTAGGCAGCAGATTTCCCACACAGACCAAAGGGGATATACAGCAACACCTGAAAGGAGAAGCGTCTTCCAAGCGTCTGGCTGCCTGCTCAGGCTTCTCCCTGCACGAGGAAACGTACGCATGTTCATACAGGACCCAAACCGCCCATCCATTTCAGAAAATGCCTCCAGCTGTCCCTCCTTGTCTGCAATATGCTTGTTTCTTATCTTAGGTTTCATTTTTACAAGAGAAGGGGAAGAGCGCAAGGTAACTGCGTGGTTGGTTCTGACTCACTTGTGTCTCCAACTAAAGCTGTCATTGTACTTCTACTACAGTGGGTCTCGTTTCAGCTTGACTTCTATAGAAGAGATTGTATGGGTTTTTTTAAAAAAAGTTATGACTGCCCGTTGTGATAGCAAGAAGAGCAGCATTTCTGTGTTGTGGCTGTATCAGCTGTTTCAGCTCCTGTAGATGGGCTTTACCAAAAGCTGTACAGTGGTTTGCAACTAGTCACTGAACAGTCTAACGTGTAATAGTTCAGATTTAAAACTGCACCAAAGTTTTGTTGTGTGTACCATTCACTTTTGACACACTTTCTCAGAATGGGTAAGCACTACTGTCCTTGTACCACTGGAAGTTTTACTCACTTATTTTAGTTACATCACTGATATAATTGTTCAGCTCAAGGAAATTACAAAGCCGCTACTATTTTCCATGGGATTTGAAGATGACCAAAACCAAAGTGTCAGAGAAAGGCAATTCAGAACAAAACGGTCTGTTCATTTACATGTAGATTATGAACTATTTTTCAGTGTTGCTACTGTGAAGCTGCAGCTAAACAGCTGAATTGCACAGCAGCATTCCCAAGTCCCACTTTGGGTTTGGACAATTCAGAATTAAGGAAAACTCAGACCAAACTATGATACACTCCCAGGTCTAGGACAGCAGTTTAGGCGCTATAGAAGTCCCAGATAAAAAAATTTAATCTTTCTATAGAAACAGTGCACTGTTTTACAAATGTGTTCATTTGGTTTTCAGTTATACTTATTGATGTAAGTACAGCAAGTGTTACACAGAGCAGATCCCTCCCCCGCCCCTCCCTGGTCCTTTTGTCTGTAACATAAAGACTGAAACACAAAAGGCACCAAGCAAGAACTTACTCTAACAGAACTTCAATATGACAATACAGAGATCAGAAATTATTACAATGTTAAATATCATCCTAACAATCTGAACCGTTATTTAAAATAATTAATTTCTTAAAAAAACAAATTTGGTGTTTGACTTCTCAGCAGTTACAAATCTGTAAAGGTTGAAATCAGCACTGCACATTGAGTTCATTTACAATGGTTTGAAAAAAACTGCAGCCTTTTATACATGGTTTATACAGGTTGGTTTGTGTGTATGTGTTCTTAAAAAAGTATCAAAACTGTAGAACTTTCAAATATATTTACATTCATCTGTTAGTTTCAGTGTTATCACATACAGCCTTTTCTCAGTTTTTTTCTTCATGCACACAGTGCATGGATTTGTAGAAACAGCTTCATACCTTATCATTTTTTCACTGCCTTAAAATCTAAAATTTGAATAGAAGGATGCTTGATTATTATGTATTGTCTATGCAGGCCATGAAGTATTTCGAGAGTATGTATTGTGTTTGTAACGCATACTAGGTCTTTAGACACTTTCTTCCTTTTCTTAGTCAAGAATCAACTTCCAGCTCACATTAGACTGTGCATTTATTCTAAAAGAAATGAAAACAAAAGGAAAAACCCCCAAAACCTCTTCAGGTCGAGTTTCTTCTACTCACTTGAACACAAAAGCCTGGACTGACATAAGAACACCAGGAGGATTCTCTCAGGTTTGGTCCATTACGCAGTAGTAGGTAAGTGTATTCACTTCCCATGGAATTCTCTGGGAAGTTGCAGGATGAGATGAGAAAAAAACCTCAGTGTTTTTCTGCAAGGTGCAGGGTGACCCAGCCAAAGATATTGAGAAGGCTGTGAATTTTTCACCTCCTTGCCCAGTGCTCTGTGGTATGGGAGATCTGCTATGGTGCCGGTTGTTCCTTTGGCAGTAATTTGGATGATAATTGCTGCACTTCAAAGAATTCTATATATGCTTAATTAAGACACTGCTCCAGAGCATCTCCATTTCCATTTGGACTCTTAGCCAATATGAGTAGGGAGAAAAGGCAAGGAGGAAAGGAATTAACTTTTGTTACCGTGTTGGGTTTGTTTCCTGATGAACCAGGTGAGAGTGTTCACTTTGGGTGTATGGGAGTCTATGGCTACATCTTTGTTTCTACCAATTCTAAGCTAATTTGAGCGCTGCAAGATTCCCAGTGGGGAAAAGCACTAAGATTTACAACCAACCAACCTCTATCACTTTTGTATCAAGCTGTAAAAAGCAACAATACAACACAAAAAACCTTGGTGCTGTAGGAGCTTCTCCTGACTAAAAAGCTGTAAGTAATAGCTCTTCAGTTAAAAGCACTGCAGAGGAATCCTTCTGGATAGGCTGGAAAAGGTAAAAACACTTAGGAGCCAGTCTGGAAAACAGGAACTTGGCAGCTGTCTTACCATACAGCTTGCTCTTTCTTAGTGTCTTTAGATTTCAAAGCAAACTTCTCAAACATCCTGTCAAAATTCAATTATCCCTAGTTTTCATAAAGGTAGGCTAGTAGTTTTAAAATATATGTATATATTTTTATATATATGTATATATTTATATGCCTATATATCTATCTAGTCTAGATAGATATATACACAGATAATCTATGCACAGCAAGCCAAACATACAAAAAATAAATACTCTCACCCCTCTACTATATTTACAGAACAGATCTTATAATCCAGATTTTGTTAATAAATATTTCTAAACTGCCTGTACAGAATTTGTTTTACTTATGTTGATGGATAGCCACAAAGCATATTCAACATATTTACAAAATATCTATAAATATAGTCTTAAAATAAAGCAATAGCTACTGAACCTTCAGCCTGGCTGGTTATGTACATTGAGTTAGTAGCTCAGCTGTCGCTTATTCACTATCACAAATGGGTAGTGCAACAAGTTAAAATGTGTATAAAAGATTATACATACAAAACTCTCACATCCTTTGGATGTTTGCAGTTCATTATAACTTTGTGGTTACCCTTCTGCAACATAAATAACGATCAAAAAGAAAAAGCAGGTTCTGTGACCCAAAGCAAATTTGTTCAGTGTGGTGTTTGGAGCAGCAACTTCATCCTCATGGCAACCCATCGTCTTCTAAGCTTAACGCTACACGCTGTGAAGGAAAAAAACCAACACGCTTGAGAAAATTTGTGGCTTGTGATACTGCTGCTAACTTGCATTTCTTGTTAAAAGTCTCATTGTTGTCCCTAGCTTATTGGTGACTGATCTATTTTATGCACTGATTTTCTTCCCCTAAATGAGGTCGCTCACTCAAGTGTTACTAAAGGGGTGTTGGAAGCTTAATCTTCCCAAGGCAAATTTCCTTAACTTCTTACCTAATTCACTGCTCCCTGTGAGGAATCTGACTCTTCTTTACACTCTTATAGAGAAAACATTCTCCCTGGTTTGTAGAGAAACTGAAGACTTAGACACTTGGTTGCAGCCTCAGAGGGTCAGTGATCAGCTGTCACAGATTGAGCTCTTGAGGTAGCTAACTTTACACTTGCTAGCTTATCAAATATATTAATTAGGACAGTTAGTCTATTATTTGCACAGAATATCTTATTATATAGACCCCTCTATACAACTGCACAACTGCATGAGCTGCCTAGAACTTTAGGCTTTGGCCTTGTCAATGGTGATTAAAGTAGTTCTGTTTTTTGTCATTATATGGCAAATAACCAATGCTGTAATTGGCTGGAGATAATTCTGTATCTAAACTCTCAACAAAATTAATCTTCTCCTTCAGCAGTTTCCTCAGATACTTACTGCTGGGTAGACATGTCCAATTTGGGCAGTCCGCCCAATGTGGATTTCATCTTCATCTTCCTCTTCTGTTGTCTTCCTATACACTGGATTATCAAAATTCATGCTTTTAGTATTCTTCCGTTTCCAGTTTCTCCAGATGAGGTATCCCCCCATGCACAGCAAGCCGATGACCACTGAGGAAAGGGCAAAGACAGGGCTGTTAGGCAGCATGAATCTGCTGGGACGTTCCCCTGTAGATATCTATCCTATTACAATTCTCCCAAAGGCAGGCTACTTCTCTCCATGTCAACAGTTCCTGTACTCTTTCCCACCCCCAGCCCTGAAGGGTATTTACACTAGCATTTTGGTATCATCTTCAAAGGTTAAATCGCATCAGCTTACCGACAGGAATGACAATTCCAATAACAGCTGCTGTCACAGTTGAATCAAAGCCTTGGTCATTATTTGCATCTGTAATTACAGAAGTCATTCTCATCATTTAAGTCATTTGCTGGTTTTAAAGCCACATCTAAAGGATGTTTTATTTAGCAACCATGGTGTTCTGCCCATCAGAAAGCTTTTGTAATCAAAGAGTTTATGAGAAGTTTTGTAATAAAATCATTATGGAGAAGATAAAAAGCATCTACACACAAATCTGGGCTAAGCCGAGCTGTTTCCTCCTAGGAGCAATAAACAGCCTGGCCACGCAGTGCTGCTGCCCTCGCAGGACTGCAAACCACACCAGGAGAGCGTGGCCAGCTAAGGGAAGTGCCCAGTACACTGTTACCAGGCAGAGGAGCTCTAACCAGAAACGAGGAACTGACTCGTGCCTCTCATTCTCAAGCACAAAAAAGGAGGCCAGTTTTAAAAAATGTGACATTTAATGGTAATTCCATGCGTTGATCAGGGGTTGGTGAATAGCGCTCTTAAAAATTCACAGCAGGACATTGTCTATCTAGTACTGACACAATGGATTTGTTGACCCGCCAGAAAAAGAACGCTGTTCAAAGTCATCTACGCAGCTTTTTAATTAATTTTTTTATTTATAGCTGAGTTAGTCAACACTATCACTCATTGCAACAGTCTGCCTCAGCATCCAAGAACCACCCCAAAACTCGATATTGTACTTAAAAGAGGAAAAAACACACCTGTAGGGGAAAATAATAATAAAAATCAATATACCTGTCAAGTTACAGGCTTAAAAATGTTTGCTCTCAGCTCTTATAGGGGATTACCACAAGAAATATATTTTTGCTAAAATACCAGGAATTGAGAGAGGAGGAACTAACTGTAGAGTTTGTCTTGATACAGCAATACTTGCAACTTAAAAGACAATTTATCCCTTTAAATACTTCCTGTGGCAGGCTGTTTTATTACATAGTAATTTACTTAATAATAAGCCAGACTATTTCAAATGTGGACAATTAAAGCACCTTGCTTCTGTGCCTTATTAAAAAGTTAATTATTGTATTTGAAAGAAAACTGCACAAACTTACAAGAATGAAGTTTAGAATTGGATTCTGCTTTCCCTCGTGCAGTACGAGTGTGCTGCATCACTATTCCTACAAGCAGGCACTCCTGTCAAACAGGGATGGTTTATTTTTGCTTTCCAGATGCAATGGAAACTGCCTCTTCTGCTTAGTGAAATGTATTGTACTGTTTTTAAAGCAATCTAGAACTGCTTGAGGTCTTGAATGACTGTCCTGAAGAGTGTAAAGCCTTCTCTCTGGACTAGAATTTATTCTTTTTTGAAAAAGCAGCTCAGCTTTTCTGCTTTTTAGATCTGCTTGGCAGCACGATGTTAGAGGGATGAGCTGTTAGCACTGAGACGGCGTGTTGGTGTTCCATTACTCATTATGTAGGGTGAACTTGAGGAGAGCCCATTAGTGCTCTCCACTGGGATATGTTCCTGATATGTAATGCAAAACTTCAAACGTATGTCACAGATCAGGCCACATTAGCATGCGGAGCACAGCCACGCAAAACAGATGCAGCTTGTCTTGGGCTGTAGCAATTCCAAACATCCAGCAGGGCTAAAGCTGGACAGGAGGCATTCTTCACCCACAAATTGTGCTGGATCACATTAATAATTAAACAAAATAGGTGAAGTGCTCGTAAAAATTGTACGTATTATTGTACGTGGCACTATGAACAGCACTGAAGCTGGGATGAACTAGTATTAGGCACAAGGCAAGGACTAGGATGAACTCTCACGGCCTTGCCTCTGGGGTCCATTTCATGTGCTGGATGAAAACCTGATGCAAATCCCTCAACATCCTGAGCGACCAGGATCGCGCCAGCCACTGTAACACGGGTGGGTGCAGAAGGAGCACCCGACATCTCCCGCTGTGCAGCAGGACGTGCCTGCATCGGACCTGTTTGTAACTGGGACGCTGGGTCAGGGCTCCCAGCAGCGCAGGAGTTTTTGTGATGTGGTGTATATAGAAAAACAGAAGAGAAATCTCATTCTCTTACAGTGCTGTGATAAATTGCTGTTTCCAGTGGTTATCTCGGAATCTATCAGGATGGATGTGGTGGAAGGTAAATGAAAACCTGGGGTGGTAATTGTAGCTTCTGGTGCAGCTCTGGGGACGGTGTCAGTGGTGTTCCTGGCACTGCCAGGTGGTGGTGTGGTGGCGGCAGCATGGGATGCTGCGGGTGTAGGAACCAGGAGAGTAGCTGAAGTAGTTGGAAGATCTGAAAAGCAACAGCAACAACGAAATTTGGTTAAAGTAAGTACACAAAGCCAATCACAAGTGGCTATATAAATCTGGGGAGGATATTTATGTCTCCTGATTAGAAGCAGAAACCAAATTCCAATTCTATTTACCAGGTAGTCAGACTATTGATAGCTCTCTGCCTAAAGTTACAGAAATGATCTCCTGAAATCAAGCTTTGTTTATTAATAGTAATAAAGTACTCTGGATGGAAGGTAGTTAAAAAGTTCAAAAACTTATGGGATTATTTTCAGTACCTCAGAAGATACTGGATTCGTACTAGGAACCGTTTGCATGTTTCCCATGCACCAGGGAAAACTACACTGAAACCACTTGTGTTTTCAGGATATTATCAGCAATGACTGTGGCCTCTCCAGATCCAGTATCTATATGGCAATAACGTGACAAATTTTAATGATGTATTGACAATTCACGATTTGGACCTTATCTCCTTTTCCCACTGTATCTTCTTCTGCTTATGCTTTCAAAAATAAGCAAGCTTTCAGTAAAGGGCAGCACAATGCTGTGTTCAAGGCAGCAGGCAGCAGAATACAACAGCTAGTGTTCGGGTTCCACTATCAGGAAATATATTCACTGTAAGTGCGCTGGAATAGCAAACAGTGAGGTGCTTGTATTTATTTACCTTTGTAGCATTTTTTCATGTCAGGACCCAGCCACATATTGTCAGGACAGGCACATGTATACTTGGGAGAATGGGGAGAGATCTGAGGCGCGGGAAGACACAAATACTCACAGCCTCCATTTGGTTGGGGGCTGAGCTCGCAGGAATCTGGAGCTGTTCAAGGACAAAAGAAGAGACAAGTTACTTTTCTAATTACTTATTTCTTGTTCTTGGCAAAAAAATACCAGGTCCTCTAAGATGACTCTCTTCCATTCCCTACCTCAATCTTTACAGTTTGGAGTGAAACCTTACACACTACTATAAAAACTGCCCAAATATATAATGAATGGCAAGTATCACAGTGATGAGAGTACCTCACTGTTACCAAAGATGCTAATTAAACAGCTATTAACAAATTGCAGACCTGTCAATAAATGCTGCTGCTGAATTAATTATGCAGGAACTTCAAACATTAGGCATTGATTTCCTATTATTAATTGGTCTTTCTCTCTCATCAAGAACCATCAGGAAACATTTCATTTACTAGCTCAAATAAACCTGATTTAGGGCCATGATACCCTGAGGACGTGTCTTACCTTTGGGCTGCTTTAATTCATGAAATACCACGATGTCATGAGGATTATTGAGATTTTCTGCCAAAACGGAGATGTCCAAGCCATTCAGCCTGTTTGCACTGAAGATTGCTTCGTTCTCCAGGTCAGTCCAGAACACTCTGTCCTGCAGGAAACGCACAGGATTTCTGCCCTGACCCTGCTCAAACCCAACTCAGGTTGGATTAAACTCCAGCAGTCACAAAGTCCATTGTTCTTACCTTGGGGCACCTTTGGTTCATGCTACTTTTATCTGCAGCTTTTTTCTGCTTTAGACACTCTCATTTCTAATATTCAAAAGCACAGCAACCCTGTATGCTTATAAAGTGCTCAGTAATTCCGAGTAGCTGTGAGACTGAGATGAGGCAGCAGAAATTTGGTTAAGTACAGGAGATGTCCATCCGTTTTGTTCCTGAACTTTTTTTTTAAAAAAACAAACGGTGTAGGTCATGAGCAGAACCAAAGGGCCATGGTAGAAACTTTTCTTATCTGTGATTTTTTAAATCTTTTCCAAAGAGAAGGCCTGCATTAAACAGGTATCTATGAAGAGGCTGGTGCCTAGAGCACACCTGGAACATGAGTATCAACTTCTCTTTTTTTATTAGTATCTTTTGCATGGCACAGTATGATTGAAGATGCAAAGCAACCAGTCAAGGAAATACACAGGAATTGCAGTTATCAAACAGTATTTAGTTGCTCGGTCAACTATGTATGCTGCTGTCTGCAGCAAATGCCTCTATTTCAGTAGGAAGGCCACGTTGCTGGAGAACAAGGGCAAATTATCAAAAGCAAAAGGGTTGTCTGTTATTCTAACCAGCCATTCAGATGATGGAGGGTGTACAGAGCTTTAAATAACCCGAGAGATCCTTCCAAACACGGCTGACGAGGATAAAACAAAAGAGCAGCAATGTCTTGAGGAAACCTGCACCCAAAGTCAGATGCCCAGATATCACACGAATCGCATGGGCCTAAGGGTTGTAGGGAAGAGTCAAAAGCCAATCCAGTGAAGTGAGAAGAAAGGAGGCGGACACACACCTTGACAGGGAGCCAGCTACACACCTTTCTGCTATAACTTCCTTAGAGTGAGGTGCCAACATTGAAGCTTTTGTTCCTGTAATCATTTAAACAATCACAGAGAGGAGCTTAGCTCCAAGAGAGAAGACTTCACTGCCCCAGGCTAGGGACACTTGGCAATCCTCTACCAGGGGAGGAGTGGAAAAACTGGATTGTCTCTCTGCTTCCACCCAGGCACAGTCTCCCATACCCCTGGATGGGAGATAGGATGGGGGATGCAGGTTCGAACACATGCTTTAGATTTTAAGCATGAGATACAAACTGCATGGAAGCTGTGAGCCCTGGGCCATCCCAGGGTACCTGTGTATAAACTAATGGCAGAAATGTGGATTCCCATTTATGTAGTAATTTCTGCACATCTCAGCAGCTCTTAGTTCTTCCCCTGATGACATTTGAGGGTCCGAACTGTACTACTGCATTAATTACTGCACTGCTTTTAGTAAGGCTACAGTGTGACACTGAATGGTGCAAGAGTGCTCCATCGACAGGACTAATTGAGTTTTCAATGGAACAAGTAGGAGCTGGAAGCCTTTGTGAAAACAGGCTTATGTCTTTGTAGGATCAGAGCTGTAATGTTGGGGACAGGGAGGTTCCTCTGATGCATGGCAGGGCTTGTGTCCTAATTGGACCAGTCCAGCCTGAATGAGAGCAGTCTGCTGACCCTTTCAGAAGGTGAAGGCCAAGTGCCCAGGCTCGGCCAAGCACTGGTGTGCAGTGACTGCAGGGGGAGCCCCGCCAGCGCCTTGCTGGCACAGGTAGTCCCAGCAGAAGCCTGGAGGCTCCCGAGACAGCGGGAAAAATGTATCTGAGGACACTTCTGCAGATGCTGGGATGAACAACGGAAACAAGCAGCTAAAGCAGCAAAATTCAAGGGGCCATCCTCCCCTGAGGGTTCTGTTGGCACCAAAAAATGCAACACAGGCATGCAGAGACAGTGTGAAACAAATCTGAGAGCAGCAGAGTGCTCCTCTGCAGGCTGAGAGCTGCTCAGAGCCCACTTCCAAAGGAAAAGACACACTGCAGTGCTGCTCTCAGTGACTGTCCCAGCCGTTGATCACGGTTAAGTGTCTTCCCCCTTCCCTTGCTAACAGCTTTGGCCTTTGTACGGACAGTTGGCTCAGCTCAGATCCAGGCCAACCCACTGCCCGTTGTCCGGTTCTGTGGGAGGCGTTACGCAGGGCACCACCGGCCCCACACGGACGCACTGCTCCTGTATTAGGCAAAAGCATGAGACAAAGCACTGCTCCTGATTAAGGGCTTTAGAAATACAATTTTCCCTGCTGAACCCACACCAGGTTAATCGGTTTCTATAGCAGCGAACGCCCTCGCTGAGCTTTCTGCGCTATGCAAAAGGCAGAGCTTTTAATCAAGAGCAGCTCTGAGACCTCTTGCAGTCCCCAGCCTGTTCTGTGTCTGGTTTTGACTCTTACCTCAAACACTGCTAAGCCGAAAGGATGGCTCAGATCGTCAACAGAAGAGATCAGAACTTTTCTGTTGCTGCCATTGAAATCAATGCAGGACAGTGAATGCAATTTGGAGTCTACCCAGTAGAGACGCTGATTCAGCAAATCTGAGAAGTGAAACACAATGAAGCAAAATTACACACAGCTCCTGCAACGTTCTTTCTCTTGCCCAGCATGTTTTTCCTGCTGGCAGCATGACTGATCTCTTTATTATTGGGCCTTTTTTTTTTTTAACATTACTTCTGATTTTGAATCAGTGCCCAGATACGCTGGGATAAGACCCTATAAATAAGATTAAAAAGGAGGAACATTCTGTTGTATGTGGGTGGGGGGTGCCTGACTGACAGCTTTGTACAATGAGGTTCTTTTGTTACCAGGAGGAGCAGGCCAGCAGCAGTTTGGGCTTCCCAGAGCCAATCCCTCAGTGCCCGAGCGAGAAGCATCATCCACCACAAGGCTGTTCAGTCCTTGGCCTCTTGCTGGAAAATGACGACTGTGACTCAAACACCTCTCTGAAGGAGCTGTGCCATTTACACATTTTCAGTGAATAACACTCCTGGGTCCAGAACCCCTTCCCTATGCTGTGGGAATGCTGGTGGTGGGGACACTCCTACCACAACCAGGGAGGTTTCGGGGAGAGTGCAGGTAAGAGTGGGAGAATCCAATATTACTTAGAATGCTAAGCACTGAATTTCTCTTCCTGGAGCAAACTCACTCATTTTGGATGAGATTCACCAAACAGAATGCCAGTGGATGAGTGCCAACACAAAACAAGTTCTGTAATTAAACAAGTCATTAATTAATTTCTTAATTACTAAAGAATAACATTATTTGTTTGCAGCAGTAGCACTTCAACACTATGCAATAGTAGCAGCATTTTCTCCTACATCTTTGTCATCGTGGCCAGAGTTTTCAAATATAAAACCAAGCAGATGACCTCAAATCTGCATGGTGTTAAACACATACCCTGTCACTCCAGAGGCGGCTGGCCCCTGCTGCCCCTGTGAGGGTGGGAAACTTCCCTTCCCCTCCTGCAACATTCTGTGGCAGTGAGAAGGACCACAGCCCTCTGTGTGCCAGCAGGATGCAGAATAGGGGCCAAGATGGGTTCTGTCTCGCCACCCCCACCCAGAGCAGCGTGTTGATGGGCAGTGGGGCTCTGTGGGCTCTGTCTCTTCCCTTGATGTACTGTGCGTTCATCAGTCCTGTGAAGCACCTTGACACTGCTTCTGAGACGGGGCCCAAGTCCAGAGCACTAGCACCGAGGACTCTGATGCTTCCTGGACTTCCAAAGGGCTGTTGCAGTTCAGCATCCTCCCCCAAAATTTCCCTTTGCCTTAAAGCACACCTAAAAGCAATGCACAGCTCCTGCAGTATGAGGATCTGACGACAGCAAGACTTACTGCCTGTACTTGCTACTGAAATAAAATTGCTTGTGTTGGTGAGCAGAGAGTATTTCCAGGATTTTTGTGTGCAGGTGGCATTGCACATTCACAATTTTGTTTTCCTATTTAACAATAAAAATAAATTTACATCAGACACAGTGGCTGCTGTAGCTGTAACCTGGGCACTTACCAAGCGTGATGCCGTTTGGCCACTCAATGTTGTCAGTCACCAGCACCTGCCGCCCCACGCCATTCAGGCCGGCTTTCTCGATCTTAGCTTTGTCTCCCCAGTCAGACCAGTACATGAACCTGAAAGACAGATGCAAAAAACCAGTAAATTTGACTCTAATGTAAGAAATCTGCAGTACTAATCAGAGTAGGAGATGCACTGTTGTGTCCTTATTAGAGCAAAGCTCCTCAGCCACTTCAGTTAATTCTGATATGCACCTCGTGGAGCTACAGATTGTCCCACTGCAGGGTGCTCTGCCATAAATCTGCCAAAATATCACTGTAGTAACCCCAGGCAAAACTATCTGCTGGTGCGTCTACTAGGTACATAGACTTCACTTACCCAAATAGCCCATATACATCAGGCTGACTACTTCATTTCCCAGCACAACCTGGACCAGCTCAGGCCCACTGAACACATGACCCGAGTGATTATTTCTGAAAATAATTTTCACGACTTTAACAGCAGTGGCCTTGCAAAGAGCTACTTGAACCACCTCAGCAATTCAATGGCTCTTAAAGGGCACCTGAAGTCTTGATGAGTTAAGAACCACTCACAGGTTTGTCAGAGAGACAGAAGTATGACAGGAACGTCTTTGTTGGCAAAGGGAGTGTTTATTTTCTTTACACCTACCTCCGTGTGGGATCAACAGCAATGGCTCTTGGCTCACTGAGGTCACTGTTGAAAAGTGTTCTCCTCCTGCTTCCATCTGCAGTGGCCACAGAGATGGTCTTGTTTCCAGAATCCGTCCAGTAGATATTCTTATGAACCCAGTCTATGGCCAGTCCTTCGGGAGAGTTCAGCTGGCTGTCTATCAAAATCACCTGCTCAGCTGTGTCGCTGGCTTTGTCTATGTAGGCACTGCAAAGACAGGACCCGTCACTGCCCTGACACACGGCTCAGACGTGCTCGGGGTTGGACCTCAGCTGAATGCCCCGGCAGCACCACTGCAACCCCACGGAAAGAGAGTGCACACGTGGAAACCCTTATGGCTGCATGCTGCGACCTTCTGCTTTCTCCTACAACTTGTTCTTATTTCCCTTCATCTGGATGGCAGGCACTTCCAGAATGGAGAACTGTAATTTTAATTTTTTACCTGCTTCCTGCTGTAACTGCACAATTCAGCAAAACGTTTGACTTCAGGCATGTTAACTTCAATAACATCAATTCATGGGATTTAGGGACATTAGAAATACAATCTCCAGTGCTCTGCTGAACAGAGTTGAATTTAGCAAGCAAATAAACGTGCTTAAACGTATTGCAGAATTAGGACCTGTGTAACTAATTATGATTCATCAAAGGAATTAATAGAGCTGTACTAATTTGGCAAGTGATCTCGTTAGATACAAAGAAAATGTTCACTAAATATCAGTGGCAGCCTCAAAATCTTTCAAAACGCTAATGAAAGGCAGCAAACTACATGGATGTTTCATAAATAACTCAGTGTTGCTCCTGCAAGCACACAGGCTGATTCTGCTCTGTTGCCCCTGGACTGGTATAATTTGTACTGAGTGAACTGAAATGGAGTTATTCTGAGTTTGTATCAGTGTTTCTAAGAGCTTAAGTCTGGCTCTTAGAAGAACTTGGTACATCTTAAAAAAATTTACAAAACAGCAGACGGTTTTTGCCCCACCTGAACATTTGAAACTGCAAGATGGTTGACATCTCCTGTTCCCCTGGCCATCCTGCCTTTGGTCGTGGAATGAGAAGGTAAAGTCATATGGAAGCTGAGCTCAAGTATCAGGTTAGACACTTGAAAACAAATGTGTGAAACCAGGAACTCTTGACTCTGCTTTATGGGCCATGGCCCAGGCTGGAATGGCTACGCAGAGTCAGGCTGCATTAACAGCACGCTACTGCATCTTCACTCCAAGGAATGGTTTTGGTTGCTCTCTGACCCCACACCAAACCAAGGGTGTCATCGGGGTTCTGCAGGGCATCTGACAATGTTCCCAAGACTGTTACTTTAGTCTGATGAGAACCACATGGTCTAACTACACAACTTCAGGCCAGTTAATTCCTCCCCAGTGACACTGACACTCGTGTTGGACACTTCCCACCCACCACTGCTGTACCCTCAGTGCCACTCGCTGCACTGCTGGGGAAGCAGAGAGGCTCCTGCAGCTTTCAGAATGGGAGGGCTGAAAACAACTGACTTTTCAATTCTCCTAACCACTAAATACTGTAAAAGATCATCTGACACCACAAAGGGGCCATGACCTCAACAGGAGAGGATCTGGAAAGGCAAGTGAGGTGAGCACTAAGAAAGATGGGATCTCCTGCCAGGGATTACCTCCTGTACCCTAGCTCTCCCCTTGCCATAGCCTCTCAACTGTAGACTGCTTTTCCCCAGAGGACTCCTGTGTTCTGTTCTCTGCTGGAAGGACATGGTGGCCTTTTGTTTAAAAGTGTTTGATATTAGATATAGTAGCAGTATTTTAAACAGGAAAGCGAATTGTTAAGAAGTTATAATTGCACAGCTTGCTCTGCAGAAAAGGTGGGACATAGGACAAAGGTAATGCAAACAGGAGTAAGAAAGAGAAGAAAATCTGCTGTTTGGAAAAAGGCTTGGTACAGCCATGTTCAGGGTATGAACGCTGTTTGGTGGCCCCCAGTGCCCCAGGGCGTTCACTGTCAGAGCTGCAGAAGGAGCCGTGTGTCCTGAATATTTCTCTATGTATGAATACGAAGCCCTTACCCACCCCTGCCTGTGCCTACAGGATCAGACACGGTGAAAGCAGCCAGCTTGCTTCTGAAACCTCTCCCCTGTTTTCAGAGCCCCGCAGGCCCGCTCAGGGTACCTGCCTAGCTACTTGTGTGCTTAATACCCAGCACAGCCTGGGCAACCTTCCCTGCCAACGGCATGGGAGCCACCACAGCCTGCAGAAACTGTGCCGTGGCTCCCACACACTGAAACCAACCAACCTTTGACTGATCATTAGCTAAAATCCAGAACAAATCTGTAGAAGCTGCAAGAGGGTGCAATAGCGATGCAAATCAGAATATACATGGGGGATTTTCAGCACATAAATTAAATGCATTTTTGACTAGGCACACTCACAAGCCCCAGTAAATAATACTGTGATGGATGCCATAAAAACAACTGAAGAAGGAGGGAGAATGAGAATTATAGAACATATACTGTGGTCAAGTGCTGTGAATTTAAATCCAGTCTACCAGAGACTGCAGTCGGCAGCTAGTATCTGTGCTGCCTCCTTGCTCCCACCGTGTGCCTCCTCTTGCAGATGCTCAGTCCTTTGTGGTTTCACATACAGCAAGTGCGCAGCACAAGCAGCACAGCATCCCTTAGCTGTATTATGATTCGTAAACAAGATTCTATGTCTAATTGCACAAATGCAGCAGGATCTATTACTGATGAAAAGCCTTCCTGTATTTATTTCCCATTTACAAAATTACCTGAAAGTAATTTAATGGTGCTGACTCATGTTTAGGTGCCTTTGACCTGCTGCACTGAGACCTCAGCTAAACTCAGCTTTGGAATGTGATACTTTGTCTTGCTTGGATTTACTATATTTTTTGCCTTAAAATTCACTATATTTTTGGCCTTAAAAGTCACAAGCCCCTGATTTCTGTATCAGTTCCTCAAAAAGCTTACAAACTCAGCCACAACCAGTAATCCAGTAAGGGAGGAAAAGCCCTGAGGTGCACTGTACCCTGCGTTGTTCTCCGCAGGTTGTCTTGAAGGGGTACAGATAGAACCGGAGATTTGGAAAGGTACCCAAACACACACCCTCTCTTGCCCCTTACCTGTAGATTTTTCGGTAGAACAAATCACACCAATATATTCTGTTTGTTGACACCTCCACGTCTAGTGCCACGACGTTCTTCAGCATGGGAATGATGCGGGAGTAGTCCCTTTTCACCAGGTCTATCTTACGGACCTCGTGGCGATTGGTGAAGATCAGGTACGGACTCTTGCCTACCACAGAAAATCAGCGCATTTGACATGTTAGCAGATGACTCAAAGGCTGGATTCAGCTTTCTCAAACAGCAACAGAACTATCAGTCACTGACAGTGCTGCTTTGTAAGGACACCACACCAGCAGCAAGTGTAAAGGGCTTCCAGAGGCAGAGCTATCACATGTGGACAGGGAGGACTGCAGCACCTCTGTGGTCCCTGGCTCTGTCCTTGCCTTCAATTTCACATTTCAGGTACAAAATCCAGTGACTCGTGGCCAGGCCAAGGAAGAGACAGCTCTGTGGGCTGCCTGGAGGGAAGGGAGGCAACCAGATCTGAGGCGTGATAGGGCCACACTGAATCCAGCAAAGCCAGGACTGGTTGTCAGGGAGGAATTTTAGGCTGTCACATACATGCAGAACTCACAGAGTCCGCCTGAGCACCCGGGCTCAGGCTGTTCACATCTCTTTTTTGTGGGGACAGAGCTTGCAGCCTAGATGCTCAGTGCATTGCTACTGCAGTTGTGATCTTAGGCCAGAGCCTCTCCAGAAGCACAAAGTTGACCTGAAAATGTCCAGAAGACAGGAGAGCAGGACACACAGAAACCAAACAACTGTTTTGCTTAGAAGCCCACAGCCAGCACCTCAGCCTCCATGGTTATTCACAGTGGGGTCCCTCCTGCAGGAGGCAGACACCCAGGAGTTGCACATCCCTGCCCTCTGCAAGCAGCAGAGCATGTGATTTCTCTGTGATCTTAAGTGTCACTAAAATAAGAGGCAAGTCAAACAGCTAAAGCTTTAGTTTCCTCTTTGTGCATCTCCCTGTTTGAGGTAGGGACAGGATGGGAAGCTCAGAACAAGCTTTAGGTTAGGCTGGTTTGTCTCCAACAGTGCCCAGTGAAAAGTGTCTTTCCACTGAGAAGGACAAGAGAGGATTGAGGAACATGATGCTGAAAGGGAAGAGCTGGGACAAGGCTCCAGCTCCGGAATACATCGTGCTGCAGGGCTCCCAGCACAGACTCTTGGGCACAACAGAATTTTCTAACCAACAAAGCAGATCAGTGTCCCAGGATTTGGGTCAGACCTAGCTCCCTGCAGGTGTGAGACTAACAACAGACATTATGCAGGACACTGTGCATACCAGACAGAACCTGGGAAGAAAGAGGCCACACGCATGTGCAGGATAACACGAGAGAAGTAATTCTGTATTGCAGGTAACTCTCCTCTCCCCCAGAGAGCCCCTATTTCCATGAAAGAAAGCCCCAGCATAGCTAATGATCATTCTTGCACAATTCAACTTTCTATCCCTCTGATTTTACCACTTATTTTTGCAATAAGGTCGAGCAAACTGCTGGTGTTCGTGTTGGTATTTGCTTAAGAGGCTGGGAGGGTGGAGAGGTGGCTAACCTACTGTGCTTTAATTGGGATGTTTTCTTCCTTTTAATACTACTACTAAATGTTATTGCTGCACTGTTTTCAATAACACCTGTCAAAAGACTTTCTTTTCTAGTTTCAACTTCAAACAGCCAACTAGTGACTGTAATCTTGCTCTGTACACTGTTAAAATATTCTGATCTGCATGATCAGTGGTTCTTGCCTGGAGATGCATCTGCTATCACTGCAGCAGTTCTGCGTTGCTCGAAATGAAACATCTTTGCTTGCTTGCTTTGCTAGTTTCCTTTTGTTTCTGTTCCTCTAGCCTCAGCCCTGCAAGCATGTTTTCTTATCAGAGTTGTGATGTTGAGCAGAGTTTAAGTGCCCGTGGCACTGTCTTACCTACAGCCTTGCAGTTCTTGGACAGGGTGTCCATCTCGTATCCCTCGTAGCACTCGCATTTGTAGTCCCCCTTGTAATTAATGCAGATCTGGCTACAAGCGTCTGGATTCTCACATTCATCTATGTCTGAAAGGAGTGTTTGAAACCCATCAATAACTTGAAATCAAACCATCTGTGATGGAGCAATGCTGAAGTGAATATAATCACGTCTCTGTATGGTGAAACACAAGGGACTGCTGTTTGCATGTAAATTACCTCCACACGTTTTTTTATCCAGAAGCTTGTATCCGGGCGGGCATTCACATTCATAACCAATCTTCAAGTCTTTGCATATGTGTGAGCAGCCACCGTTGTTCATAGAGCATTCATTAATACCTGGAAGGGATATACAGACAATATATGACACAGAAGGGCTTTTAGTTGTAAGACTGAATAAAATTAAGAGATGTCCTCAGAATTTTTCCTCTACCTATCAGCTTTTGGTAGCCAGGAGCTGGGCCCACAGAGCATATGAGTGACTTCAAAGAGAGGAAGCCACCACTATATTACTTTCTTGCTCTTTATTATTGCAAACCAACACTGCAGGATCATTTGAACTGAAAGCTAGTGGCTAAATGAACAGGGAGCCCTGGGGATACAGCCTATGTGAATCTCTGCATCTCATCCCATCAGAGAGCTGCTGCTTTGAGCATGTTCTGCCACATGTGAGAAACTTCTAAGGGACCTAAAGGCTCTCTCCAGGAGACTTCTTCCCCATGCACTCGTTCATGTTGACTTTTCTGAACAGTCTCTCTGAGCTTTAATAATTCATGCTGGGGGAGTCTCATCTCTCAGGGGCCAGCTATTTTGAAATACTATACTGGTTTCCCATCTAGCTTCAAGGAACAATCTATGTGAAAATTCCAGAAAACACCAAAGTACAGTCTGGCAGAGATGCTCCATTAGCACTGAGATACAGTCCTCCCACAAACACATCCCACACGACAGTCTGCTGGCAGCCTGCATCAGCCCAAGTGTGCAATTTATGAAGCAACAGCCCCCATTCTCTCCTGGGTCCCTGTCTAATCCAAGGCCACCTCTCTGATCCTTTCAAGTGCTGAAATGAAAAACAAACTAAATGAACCCTTTTAACTCGAACTAAATGAGAGGTTGAGGAAAGTGGGTGTTCTGTCAGAAGTAACATTTCTTGTTGTTGTAATTAACCTACACAAGGTGAGGAGAAAGTCCTCTCCCTAAGTATGACTGCTAAACAGAAGCTGTAGGATTTCATGGAGAGTGGGCTCACTAAAACAAGCAAAACTGATTTTCTTCTATCTATAATGCAATTTAAAGGCCAATTTTTTATTTATCTCTTACTTCTTGCTTCCTTGCACACTGCAGGTGAGCAGTACAGCAGAGCCATTAAACCAGTGCTCTCGGAAGACAATAAAAACATCCACAAGCCAATTAAGTCGGTAAGACTAGGAAAATACCATGCCAGAAGGAACCCCACCTCTGCTGCTATGCTTTCACCTTCCTATCAAAGAGACACACAGATATCAATACATTAACAGAACAATTTCACTAGACTCTAAGAAGGTGTCCACAGAGTCACCTTGTGTGTTGTCACTGTTCAGTGATGTTTATTAATGGATATCACCTATTCCTACACTTGCATAGGCCTATACCAAACTGGGTCATAAATATGCACAACTGCTCTCTGCAAAATACTACAAAGGCTGTTTTGACTGACAAGCAAACCCTCATTCAGATGACTCCCGTGGTTTCAGGGGTGCTCTATGGAATGGATTTGGAGACTGTAAATCAAGTGCTGTTCACTTGCTGCTCTTCTCAACAGGAGCTGAGGAGAAGCCAGGCAGAGACATTAGCCTGTTCCCTTCCTGCTGGGCAGCTGCTGCCCTTTACTCAAACTTCAGCAGTGTATTCGCTGCCTGTCTGAAGTAAGACAAGTGATGTTCTGTCTTCTGCCGTGCTTTTTTGGAGAATCTCGGAGGGCACTGCAGTGTCTAGCACACAGCTAGACAGACACACCAAGATAAGGAGCATGTCCTGCACCTCCTGCCTTCTGTGTGGATTACTTGTGCGTGGGTGTTACATTCACAGCAATCCACATCATTCTGCGCTCTTAAAGAAACATGTTTCCTTTGGGGGTATTCTCTGCTTGGCTTCCTAACTCAAACATCACTCCACTGCCAGCCTGGGACCATCAAGCCAGCCACAGCACCGCTGTAAGGATGACCACCAAGCCCAGCTGTGCCGTGCCACTGCCCAGTCTCTAAGACAAACTGGGCTGCCAGCTTTGCTGGGAGACCTCCACAGCCAGACAAGTTGCAACACCCACTCAGAAAGACAGGGAGATGTGGATTAGTGTGGAAGAAAGCAGGGGCATACTGGAAACACAAGGTAAAAGCATCCTCACTAGGCATGCACACACACTTCTTGTCTGATAAGAGGGGAGAGACTGACAGTTCTTCCTCGATGCGAGTTATTTAAGAGGCAGGCACTGAGCTCTGTGCTACTGATGCTCCATGGTATCATGGAAAGAGACGTTTCTACACTGGGGGAAAAACCAAATGTGTTTGAGTAATGCTCCAGACAGGGGCTAGTGCCCAGTGGGAAGGGTAAGAGGGGCTGCCCTAGGGAGAGCAGCCGCTCTCTGGCCTGGGTTTTCTGCTCTGCTGACTCCGGCAGCCCTGCCTCTCACGGGTTGTGCATTCTCACTAGCCCAGAGCTGGCAGGACATGGCAGAGAACAACCTGCTGTCACTTCTAAGGGAAGAAGCAACATGTAAAACCCCGTGGCTGACGTCATCTTTCAGAGATTGCTGCCACTCTATGTGTTTTCACCTTCAAAGCGTGTTCCCACTGGTAAATTTTTATGACGTTACCATCATCTTACAATTCAAACATAATTTAGGCAACGAGGCTAAATAAACCGGTCTGTGCTGTGGAGGACACTAGTATCTGGGAAGAGGAGGAATTCCTGGTTCCTAGTCCCATGCTCAGTTCATACATCCCTCCAAGAATAAAAGCTGAGCTGAGAAGGGCACAGTTCAAAGTTACAGATGATCAGACTAGGCTACTAATTATATTCATATGAAGGGTGATGAGAGAATAAAGGCAAGGAAAGAGGAGCAGAGTGAGAAATAGCATTAGCAGCTACATGTGGTTACATTCAAAGCTGTGAGCACCAGATGGAGGAGAGGGGAAGCAGTTACAACAGGAGCAACACGTAGAAGGCAAGTACTGTACCACATTCTTTCAGAGGCTCGTCAGACCAGTCCCTGCAGTCTCTATGTGAATCGCACACTTTGCCTCCGTCAATGCACTCTCCACTCTTACACTGAAACTTGCTGGGACTTTCACATGCTGACTCTGTCATGTCGGGCAAGAGAGGAAAGCAACTAAGTTAGTTGAGGCTCATGACAACAAAAAGACTGACATAAAGCTTCAAGAGGGTGTCATTAGCAGAAATGAGATGGGATTAAGCAAACGAACATTAAGCCTGAGCATCATGCGAGAAACTTTTCAAGTCATGCATTCTGCGCGGTCAGCACAATCGTCTCTCCCAGGCAACCCCACAGTCAGAACGGCTTAAAACTCTCCACAGGAAGCAGCCTGCGGCGGCCCAGAGGAGCACAGGCCTCTTCCCTTCCCAACGGCCACACAGCTCTGGCAGACTTACACCACGGAGCACAAGGAGCAGGAGCACAGAGCTGTCTGTACCTACCTTGGATGCAGCCTGCCTCATCGCTGTTGTCAGGACAGTCATGCACCTTGTCGCACTGCTTTGCTCCGTGGATACAGGTCCCATCACCACACTGGAATTCATCTGGCCGGCAGGTCACCAGAGCTTTAAGACAACACATTCAAGCATTAGCCACGCAGGACTCCAATCTTCTGTGTGGTACCTTTTAGCCACATATCACTGACGCTGCTGGAGTTCTGCACCCTCTGTCATCAAATGTCATAGAGCATCGTCTGCTTCCACCAAAGCAACAGAGGCAGCAGCTGCCTCAGCCACTGTCCTCCTGTGCCCCTCTGCCATCCCAGATCACCCTCTGTGTTCTCGGGAAAGGGTCCCAATGATTGTATGAGCAGATCTACTCAAAACAGAACCAGTGCAGTCAGTGCAGTGTCTCAGGTGAGACACAAGAAAGCAAGCAGGCAACAAAACTATTAGCAGTGGAGCCCCTTTGGTTTCTTCAGTCTATGTGAGAGATCAGGCTGCTTTCCAACTAGGAGCAGAGTGGCACTGGGTAGGCAAAGACAACTGCTCCTCAGCTCTTCTTCCTTCAGAAAAAATGTATTTAATCATAGAATACCAGGTTGAAAGAGATCTCAAGGATCATCTGGTCAGACCAATTTTCTTGGCAAAAGCACTGTCTAGACCAGATGGCCCAGCACCCTGTCCAGCTGAATCAGAAGTGTCCAGTGTTGGGGAATCCACCACTTCCCTGGGGAGATTACTCCAGTGGCCGATTGTTTTAACTGTGAAAAATTTTCCTTGTGTTGAATTGGAATCTTCCAATTGGAATCGAATTGGAAACTTGTACCCAATAATCCTTGCCTTTTCCATGTGACTGCCTGTCAAAAGGGAGTCTCCATCTTCTTTGTAGCCACCCTTTACATACTGGAACATGTTGATAAGGTCTCCCCTAAGCCTTCTCAATGCTGAACAAACCCACTTCTCTCATAGTTTCCTCACAGGGCAGGCTTCCCAGTCCCCTGATCATCTTTGGGACCCTCCTCTGAGCTCTCTCCAGCCTGTCCACATCTTTTTTTGTATAGGGGGGACCCAAACTGAACACAGTATTCCAGGTGTGGCCTGACAAACGCTAAGTAGAGTGGGATAATGACTCCTTTATCTCCGCTAGTGATGCCCTTGTAGATGTAACCCAGCACCCCGTTGGCTTTCTTCGCTGTTGCAGCACACTGATCGCTCACTGAGCTTGTCCACCAGGACCCCCAGGTCCCTTTCCACAGAGCTGCTCCCCAGATGGGTAGATCCCAGCCTGTGCTGCACTCCTGGATTATGTTTTCCCAAGTGTAAGACCTTACACTTGTCCTTGCTGGACTTTGCAAGGTTCTTGTTAGCCCACTCGTCCAGCCTATTCAGGTCTTCCTACAGGGTGGTTCTCTCTTCTGAAATGTCCACTTCCCCACTCAGTTTGGTATCATCAGCAAAATTCACCAGGGCACACTTGATCCTATCATCCAGATCACTTACAAAGATACTCAAAAGCACTGGGCTCAATATCGATCCATGGGGGACCCCACTTGTGACAGGTTGTCAGTTTGAATAAGATCTATTTACCATCACCCTGGGTGGAGCCTGTCAGCCAGTTCCCACCCACTACACAGACCACTTGTCTAGACTATAAGGTATCCCTTTCTCTAGGAGGAGGCTGTGGGGAACTGTATCAAAAGCCTTTATTTCAAAACATGTTCAGGCTAAGGGCATGGGCGAGAGACATGTATTGACTCTCTCTGCCAAAGCCCATGTGGTCACACTAGGGATGAAGCTAGCAACACAGACATGGGCATTTGGGTTACTGAATGCCCACGAGCTAACAGACCACTGGAAGGCAGAAGAGCTCCACTGCACTGCTGTGTGGTGTTTCTTGGGGTTACAAGCCAAAAAAGTCTCCACTGCATCAGGCCAGGTTTCAAGCCTGAAGCTCACTTGCCCAGGTCAGATCATTAGAGACTCAAAACAGGCCTGGTCCCCAAGCAAAGCTGGGGAAAAAAAATAAACCAGGCAGCTGCAGTGACCATACTAAAAGCAGTCATGTTTCCCTCCCCAGGGTACACTGAGAGACCTGCCTAGCTGGGACCAGACTTGTGCTGACAGAGGGTACAGGCACTCACTAGCCAGCAAAGGGCTGCAGCCTGCAGTTCACCAGCAAAACACGCTCCTCGTTCCTGGGACATGTTATGCAGCTTACTTCTGAGGGGATCGTCTTACAGATGTTTCCTCAAAATCCTATTAAGGCAGCACACCCTGGAGAGCTCTTGATTCTAGCCTTTCCATCTTGTTGATTATATCCTGGTATCCTACGACAGAAAATCACTGCCTCTGAATAGCTAGAGGAGGTCAGCGCTGATGTTATGACATGGGAGGTGAGAGCTACGTGGCAGACTTTCCTTGACAATTTGACAAACTGGTTCTAATACAAAAATTACCACTTTCAGATAACCCAGGAAGAGCCACAGACATGAAGTATAAGCCAACATCGATACCATAAAGTATTAGTTGCACAAAGGCTCAGTATTATTGGTGATTGCATCCCACAGGATGCAGGATCCAGATTCACAACTGCTTCACTGGACTTAGCTCTAGTGCATCTTCAGCTGACAAAGGGCACAAGAGACAGGAAAAGCCACAACTGCAGGGCTGGTGGGGGAAGGGAGAAATCCTGCCTTTAGAAATACACAGTATTCACATAAGGAACGTTTGGAAATAGCACTGCTCCTTGGAGAGGAAAGCCATATGCACTGTATTCATAAAAAGCTGCAAAGCGACAAAAAAATCGCAAGCAATAAGCGTAGTTATGGGACCAGCTGTGTCACCACATTTCAGCTAATAAACCCCGGCAAAGAAATGGGAAACCTCAGTGGGACATCTGAGACAGCAGCTCCAAACTAAGCTGTGGGAACTGCTGCTCTAAATGGAGAAAAATGAAGGAGAGGAAGAAACAAAGCTGTGGTTTGAGAGAGTCACACACCACAGACCTGGAAGTGGCTCAGAGCTCCTGCAGGGAGGCGGAGGCAGAGGCACTTCTCCTTGAACCATTCCCGCCATGTACAACCACCTGCTGGGAGAAGCCCTGACAGCAGAGAGACCACCTTCCTGCTAGGCAATCCCGACCTCTGCCAAGCTAAACCTTGGCCATTGCAAACCTTTGCCTACTGTCTAGCCCAAAATTCCCTTGCCACAGTGATTTCTTGTCTTCTCCCCCAACATGAAAAACAGTTTACCTCACCTTTTCTGTAGCAACTTCTGTATGTGGAGACAGGAATGGATGGTCCTCCATTTCTCACTATAAGTATTAACCCCCCACAAGAGTGTAATATATAATTAAAGCCAATGGCAGTCTTGTCTCTCCTGGACCAGGAACAGGTCTCCAGTTTATCAATTAAATCTGCATGACAACAGCTACAGATTTGGAAGGCAGCTGTTATAAAACCTTCTAATTGTCCTCAATTGTAATCTTCAAAGCTCTTCTAAAAAGCACTTATAGCTCGATGCTAAGAACAGAAAGGTTTCCAATCCTAAAACAAATTAAAATGAAGGAGAATTTTGCAGAAACTGCACAGTGTTGCACAAGCACCACAAGTCTGAGAGAAAAATGACAGCACAGCTCTTAGCTTGTTGCTAGAGGGACTGCAAAGCACAGATGTGGGACTGTGCAACATCACTGCACAAAGTTTTCACTTCAAGAAGAAGAGACAGAAGTTTGGAAACCAGGCTTGGTTTCCTGACTCACTTCTCACTCCAGCAGAGCTGTGGAAGTTCAGACCTTTGAGGAATGGCCCCTGAGCTTAACAGACATCTAAAAAGAGCAGATACAGCAATAACTCTTACTGACCACAAAGATATTAAAATGCATATACAGCATTTCTGGGTTTTGGTGCATTTGTCAATAGGAGGAGAGAGAATGCTATGTTTTTAACTCGTCTGGAGAGCGTAAGTTTGAGGGGAGAGGGCCAGGAATTTTGCTGTCCTGAAGTCGGAAGACAAACCCATCTCAGCACTGCTGGCAGACTTGACAGCAGGTTGCCATCACGGCCATTCCCAAAGCAGAGCAATATTCCAAGAAGAGGGAAGAGCTGTGCTGTTTATTTGCACAAGATGTTCAGAAAATTGCTGTGCTATTTTGGAGGATTTAAATCAGTGAAATCCCAGCAGTTTTATAGCCATCTCCTCTGTTCTGCAAATCAAATATGAAACAATTTACCAAAGCTCTGCTAAATTAACAGGCGCACTCAGACACATGTTCTGTTTGCAAATAGTGGGCAAAAAAGCTATCTTGCTCAAATTCAGTAGGTATATTCCAGATCCCAAGTCTGAGCCTGTGTTTCTTCTGTCTCCTGGGTTCCCCCCAAAACCCCTGCAATTTGCAAAATGCATCAACCCCATTTTATAGATAGGGAGACAGAGACACGAAAGTGTGAGGTCAGGTCTCAAGGGAACTGTTTTCTAGCTGTCAGTTGTAAGCATTATTTATTGTCCCTCCTGGATGCCCTGAGTTGCAAAGGACGTTTTAAAATACAACCATTCCAGATTTGAAGACTAATAAATCTAACCTAATGTTCATTTTATAAATATATATACACACATATTTGAATATATATATATGCGCTAGGGAAAAAACCCCAACCACTCAGTGTTCTCACACAGCTTTCCTGAAATGACTCATTCGCTCCTATTTATTTGCTGTCTCGCTGCCAAAACCTGTTCACCAATTGTCACCCTTCATTTCTGCTCTACTCGTTTATCACCCCAAAGATGATTACAACAAATGACTGGTGATGGCCTCATGACTTTTCTTTAAAAGCATTAGCTCCCATCCCTCTATTTTATACAATGCAAATCCCATATGATTCCCATTTGCAAGAGAAGACATAGTGCTAGTATCTGCAGTTTTGATCAAGTCAAACTGAGCTGTACTTATGCCATCCCTGTTGCTAAGGGGATGGAGCAGTGTCATACACCTGTAAGTCCCTGCGTGACACACGATACGGATCTCAGAAAGAGAATTTCTGGAGAGAAAAAAATAAAGGTCAATCCCTAAACTCTTCAGTCCAACAGATGAACAGTGATGCTGAGTTTCCAGAGCTCTCAAATGTCACTTTCTTACTGCAGGCATGTGCAGACAAACCGCTTCATTTAGGATGGGGAAGCAACATTAGTTTTGACTCTGACCCAGCTGACCCATCAGCTACATGAGCACTCAGTGCCGCAAGTCCTCTTCTGGCTACTACCTTAGAGATTCCCCTCCCCACGGTGTAAACAGCAGCAGGCTTATGCACCTCTGTGGCACTGGGGTGACTCCTAGCCTGCACAGGAGTAAAGGGCAGAACCAGGCACTCCATACAGAGGAGCACTGCGGGAGCTAAAACATGGGGCTTTGAAGCCCATTGTTTCCTGGCCCAAAGGACTGAAAGCAGCAGAAGCAGCTCACATGCTCGTTTCTCCTCGGGAGATAAGCTGCACATTGTGCTGTATTGAGACTTAATAAAAAAAAAAACCTCGGGGGCTAAATCTCCACTAGTCACAGATATAATTGTCTCAAGGCACTTCTGCCACATTTCCTCCTTCCTCCACTGGTTGTCAGCACTGTGCTGTGCTGCAGCGGTATCCAGCTGCGTCCTCTGTCCCAGGAAGGCTGCCCTTGGTGCATCTGGAGGGGCTATGTGGTGAAGCTGCTGTGCAGCTGAGGGATGCTGTCAGAGCTGTGCTCCTTTTGGGCCTCACGTCTTGGCAGTTTGAGCTCAGCTGGATACTGCTGGTATCTGTCAGATCAAGGAAAGAAGCTGGGGAACAGAGTGGTCTCTCTGCCACAGCAAGGTACATGGACACAGTCCCATTCCTCTCACCCAGCAGTACCAAAGTAAAATGGGGCCTGTAAAAGACTTAAACCCAATTTCTTTCAAATTGAATATCAGGGATTGAAATTTTAGAGACATTTCTTTGGAAAGCACCATCTGTAAGCTGCTCCTTTCTTTCACCACTTGGAAATAGAAGAGAGCTCACCGTTCCCTCTCCTAAGTCTGAACTCAACCATCCTACAAAGTTGCTGTCGCTGCAGGGAATGCAACCCGTGGAACAGAGATCAGTGCTGCTGGGAGTCCCCTCAGATAGCAGTTCTTCACCTGTGTTTGTAATGCAGGCTTAGCCACTGCCTCCTGAGTCATAGGGGATGCAAGTACAGGATTGTCTGCAGGAGGTCTCAACATGAAAACAGGCACTAAACAACACAGGTTGTCCCAGCTAACAGTGAGCATCTCCACCAGAGACGTTCCTGCCTGGCTTTCTTACAGTCACTTCATACTGAGATGGATGCCAGGAACCAGCTCTGTCTCCTGACTCCACTGTCCTTGTGATGATTCAGACCCTGGCAGTACTGCCTGGGTACCTGCTGCCCAAGATCTGTCAGCTCCTGTATCACCTTCTTAGAGATGAAGGAAAAGACACCCTACCTAAGCTATCCCTGCTCAGAAGGGCCTTGACAGTGATGTCATCCTTGTATCCAGCAAAGCTGCTCTCTTCCCAACAAAACTTACTTAGCTTCTCCTACTCTGCTCTCACCTCTCATTTAGAAGAGTCCTTGGCTCTTTTAAAGGTACAGCAGCTCCAGGGTTACCTGTGGCTCATCCCCCTGCCCTTCTACAGTGTAAACAGTGGTGTCCAGGACTTAGTACATCCTCCTCCCCTTGCTAAAGAAGCCACTGACTTTACAGCTGCCTCTCTCTGCCTGGGAGAGAGTCTGACCCTCTGCTCCTTACAGGGCTCTCCCACAAAGCTGCTCTGATCTCACCAGCCTGGACTCAGTGTTGTCACGGGTATGAAAAGATGGTGCTGGCAAAAGTAGTAAATTTTCTTAGGTACCTTTGCAAAAAATGTCTGGTTTCTGCAGCTGGTTGCTGCCTTCCTCCCCAGAGGTGACACACTGTCAGAGCTGCTAAATATATACAGCTATGTAAATATTTTATTTCAATCCTGTCATTATGAATATTTTAGCAAAACATTTTGCTCTTATTTTCTTGTCTCTCTCTATCTCTCCCTCCTCAAGTAAGTGACCAGCTTGAACAGTTTAGTGGCTAAAAATGGATGAAACATTCAAAATAGCACGGCACACCAGCAACACCATGTTAAATGCATAAAGCCAGCTGAAAAGAAATCCATTATTTATTAGCTCTGTGACTTTATCAAGCCAAGCTCAAAGTTCATTCAAACTGGATTCTTCTGAGGTGCTGCTCTTGACTGCCTTGTTCAGTATACTCTAACTTCAGAGGCAGAAAATTAATTATTTATTTTCTGCTGATCATATATTCCCCTTTAGCATTGTTGCTTCTAACCTCCAGGCTCTGACCCCACCATGCAGCCTGAGGGCTTTGAACATTTTTCCCATTTTCCATTCTTTGTCTTTCTAGTGAAACAGATCTCTTCTGAGCCACGGTACCATCCAACAGCTCTTGCACCTCCTCTCTGAATCCTCAAGGAAAAAGCATAAAAGGAGTCTGGAATATACGTGACCTGCTGGGTTGGGCACCAGCCACGCCATATGGGACACAAATGCTCCTTGTCAGGCACACAGTTGCTGCACAGACATCAAAGACTTGCCTTAGAACACAGCCCACAGAAGCCCTCTGGCCCCTCTTCTCCCCCACAAAACAGACCTCCCAGCCCTGCTCTACCCCTGCAGACACTCACGGCAATCCTGCTCATCAGACTTGTCCTTGCAATCTTCATCCCCGTCGCATTTCCAGTTCAGGTGGATGCATTCACCATTGCCGCACTGGAACTCGTGAGCTGCGCAGGTGTTGAGGGCCTTGGCATCGTAGCCACACTTCTCTATGGATTCATCTGACTGATCCTCACAATCCGGCTGGTTATCGCAGACCCACAGCTCTGGGATGCACACGCTGTTGTTGCACTGGAACTCATTGGGGTTGCAGGTCAGAGGGGAGCATTTTCTTTCATCGCTGCCATCCCCGCAGTCATTGTCACCGTCACACACGAAGATGATGGAGATGCATGACTTGTTACTGCACTGGAACTCATTGGGAGAACAGGCTTGGGAATAAAAACAGACAGGTGAGCTGTGAGGTTTCCAACCTACCCCTCACCACTGTGCCAGCTTTAGGGATGTCTGAGACGGGGGGAAGTGAGTGCACAAAAGTATTACCTTGGATGTCCTAACCCAAAACATTTTTCCCAATGGTAAATTACAAGGGAAGGAGCAGGTGAAGATGCCAGTGGTCATCTCCCCAACTGTGCCATAGGATGAATCCTCTATGGCCCATGGCCAGCCCTGAAGAAGGGGCAGCAGGGCTGTGAGAACTGCAGGCAGGAAAAGTGGGGGGCCAGCTGCAGCACTGCCCTGGTGTTGAGACAAGAGCAGGCAGGCAAGCCCTGGTGGATGGGGCGACAGCAGGGAAGGAGTGGGGAGACTGCAGGGTGGGCTGGAGGTGTGCTGGCACGCGCTGGTGGACTCGCACAGTGCTTTGCTTTGCTCTGTGCTGACATTACCAGCTTCCTGACTTTCACAAGCACAGAATCAGGTTTCAGGATTTCACAGTGTGCCTGGTTTTGGACATATTAAGTGGGATGTGTAGGGTAAATATTTAGTGAGTCGAGCATCAATTTAGCTGCAATCTGCCAGTAAGGCCCTTTACAACACACTGAATGCCTTCCCTGAAAATCACAACTCAACATTAACATACAAATGAGGCGTTTGTCAGATAGGAAGCTGAGTGGAGTACTTTCCTCTGCAAGTCTAATGGACAGCTGAACCAGAGAAGCCTGCTCAAATTAAACTTTCAGGCACTCCAACACTATGCAGTTCACAGTCACTTTATTTCATCAAGGTGCGGGGGAACCAAAACCCTGGAAGAAATTATCCATAAGGCAGTTATTTAAAAAAGAATTCTGCTTCTGCAGTTTCAGTCATCCATCGGTATGTTATGGCTTTGATAAATTACAAGTACAATAAATATATACAAATAAATGACAGTAAACTTTTTTCTAAAAGCACTTGGAAGTCTTTTTCTGTGTTCAGAAGCAGAACTATTTACTGTGTATCTGCAGAGTGCCTATGATAAAGCACAGCTCAGATGGTACCTATTGCTGCAAGGGCAAGTGCATCTGGAAAGCAGCAGAATCTCTGTAAAGTTGTGGTCATATGCCAGCCTTCAGCCAGCAACAGGAACACAGTGGTATTCCACTGAAATACCATGTCTGGTTTACACCTGTGAATGAAACTCTACCTAGCAATTAAGAGCATGTTCACTTGTACATATTTACATTCTAGCCTGCAAGATTGCTTGGCTGTATTAACCTAAGCAGCCTGTAGTTTCACATCAGAGAATGACAATATATCTACTTCTCCCCTCCTGCCCTGTGCTTTGTCCCATTTAGTCCCAGATTTTCCAGATGTTACTGTATCTACCAGAGTAGCAATCCGCCTAATCTGAAGGAAAAGAGATTTGCCTTCCATGATGCAACGCACTGGCTACAACCCAAGCTCCCTCCAACAGGGTTAAGTGTTAGAGAATCTCAGCTGCGCACTGCTGTGTGCCCAACTTGACATCAGTAACTAAATGCAACAGAGCATGGTCGCTAAAGGAGCACCTAGATACCAAAGTTATCATCTGGTCCAGGTGGGTTGTTCAGGCTCCTTCTGAGCAGAGCATTTTGGACACAGAGAGATGCCCTCAAGAAGGCAACTCCGGCCACCTTGGGATAAGAACTGTCCCTTGAAGGGGCTAATATTTCTCCTCTCCAGAGGGAGCTGAGATCAGACAGCTAATACTAGATTAATCCCTCTCATAAGGACCTGAAAGAAGAGCAGAGTGTGGTGGAGAAGCATCTAAAAAAAACTCTCTTGCATGGCAGAACTGAGACCATTAAATTGCTTCTGGTTTTGCCCAAATTCTGCTCTTTTTCTTCACTGAGCATACTTTTCTATCCTTATCCCATAACTAGAAATATAATAATTAACCCTACTGATCAGTACACAGTTGTGTAACCTAGCTCCCTCTTCAGATGATGCATAATATGGAACTGCCAAGTGGAAATTTAAGATAACAGTTATAATCTTACCAATCTATTTTAAAAAGGAAGTGAGAAACAGGAATATTTCTAGGGCTATGTACAGTTTCTTTAACAGATCAAGGCTGAGAAGAAATTGCTTTTCTGACATTATTATGATTAATCTCAGAAACAGACCAGTGAGCAAAATTTTACATAGTCTGATCCCTAATTTTTGGGCAAGGTTGTTATGATTTGCACACTCCTGATGTACATTAATTTCCTTTCCCCCAACTGTAATGAGCCCATCTTTTTGCCCTTGTTGTTTTCCTGGTTCCACCTCTACCCCTCCTCCCTGTACGCACTTCCCTTCAGAAATCTGCTGCATTGGCAAATTGGCAACTGATAAACATATGTGTGGGATACAGACAATGGAAGTTTGCACAAAAGCTCCTCCCCTGCACCTTCAAATCCCTGTACAGATATAAAATTACTCATAATCACAGCCAGAAAAAGAACAGTTCAGCTTTTGTAACCTCTCATGAGGACTTCCCCAGTGAAGCCCGTGAATTACTAGCTAGAAAAATCGCATGGTCATGATTATTTTATTTATTTTTAAAAATTAAATTTAGTGTGATGACAGCACTAGAGACTACAAGTTTTCCCTCCACTGAAGAAGCACAGCAGTCTGGCTGTTACTAATCCCCCCTTCCCACCATCACAGTCCTTAGGTGCGGATCAATCTCTGCAACTCATCCACATGGCTAAATCCAGGGGCTGCAGCATCAGCACTGACAGGGCATTGCCTGCACTGGGACAAGGGACAGAAAAGCAGCTCTTTGCTCAGGTCTTCCTGCCTGCAATTATAGCAGCCACGCACCGTTGGGACAACCAGTAAGACTGATGGGCTGCTCCCACCGTGCCATGACAAGAAAGCCACTGGACAGCCACCAGAGCTGGCACAAGGGCCACTGCAGTGCATGCAACAAGCAGCCAGTGGCAGTGCCAAATGGGACCACATGGTCCCTCGCTACAGAAGGCTGCTCTAGGCACCTCCTGGTGAACTCAAGAAATAAAAATGCCCTTTGCTGCATTTACAGACCTGATGACCATCTTCAGACCAGCTCAAATGGGACCGTTCTTTCTGGGTCACACACGTCTCCAGCAGAGTCCTCTGTCTGCATCTGGCCACGGGAAGGCAGATAACGTCCCAATTCCTCTCACCCTTCTGTTATCCTCTCTGACAGCTAAAATCCACAGGGCATGCCAGGATAAAGCAAAGTCTGCAGCTTCCAGCCACTCAGGGACTCACTCTGGCACAAACAGGCAACAGAGGAGAAAAGCTGCTTACAAACCCTCTGTACCTAGGCAAGAGCCAGCACGCCTGTGCTCTTCAGGGTCCCTGCTGTGTGGTTTGGTGCTGATTTGAAGAACGTAATAAAAAGCAGCACTACAAATTATCTTACATAGACACTTAAGAGATGAGGGTGGGGAAGTAAAGTCCCAGGGACAGCTTACTTCACATCTCTTTCTATAAATCTGTCAGGGTACCTAGGTAGTCCCATCACTACAGCATTTCACTGCCTACAGAGCATTTCAACAGAAAATGTACAAATAGTAATTAAATGATCATTGGGGTATTTTTTTCTCTGATTCGAGCAATTTACGGGCATTCTCTGGTTTTGCTACCTGTCCTATTGTAAGCTTATTCGTTCAAAACAAAGGAAACAAATATTAGCTTGCTTTCCTTAGTGCCACAGAAACTAATGAATGTCATACTCTGAGGTGCAAAACCTACTTCAAATATGAAATGATCGCAGTAGAAATCTTAGAAATGTTTGTCAAGAAGTGTTTAATCAACAGGCTTCAAAGCAGTAAACAAGCATAATCACAAAAGCAGGTTTTTTGTAGAGTACTGTAATCCGTTGAATTTCTTCACAGTTTTAGGAAACAAAATATCTCATCTGAACGACAGTGTACATGTGCTTTGGCCTATAGACTGTATATACCAGAGGTGTTCTGCATTAAATTTCTGCCTTGGACTATATGCCAACATATAAAGCACAACTGTCAGTTCTTGCCTCACAGCCTCCAGCTGCAGTCTTGTCACATCTCTTGAGAAGAGCCTAGCAGAAGTCGTCTTTGGATAGAGGAAGGTTTTGGGTTTTTTTTAAGAGGAAAAAAAAAAAAAAAAAGAGAGAGATTGCAGTTGTGGAGTTAAGTGTTTCAGTACTGGGTGGTTCTCTTTTGCCCAGAGCCAGGATTTAACCAAAGGCTTTAGTGAGTAGTCTGGTGCAGCTGGGACAATCTTAGCTTATGTGCTGCACCAAAAATTAAGGTAATTCTAACACATGCTTTTTAAGTGCTCATAGAAGGAAGTAGAATGCTTTAAAGATACAGGGCACTCCGAGAACTGTAATTTAAAAAAAAAAGTACATAACAATATTTCTACAATGGACATCTCTACAAAGCATGGATCCTCAAATCCAGATAAAATTTAAAATATTGAATAAACAGGACATCTATCATTAGTAGGAGCTGGGAATTATGTCCAATTGTCTATAACTGCTGCCACTGCTAATCTTTAAAGGTTTTCTAGTTTTTCAGTAAGAGTCAGGTATTCAATTCATCTCTCTTCTCCAAAAAAGTCAGCTCCACTTGAAATTACACAAACGATTTAGAGATAGAGAATTATTTGGTAAGATTTGTGGTAAAGTGGATAACAGCAATTACTGATGCTGAAGACAAGAAAACAAGACGAATTATTAAACTGCATTTTTCTGACACCCCCCCCAAGCAACTTAAAAGCAGCATGGCTCGAAATTTCTTGTTTGCTTAAGCCTAATAATGCACCTGCTAAAGGTGGCAAAGGATGATTTGCACATACTAACATTTGCACTGGGGAGGGAGAGATCTGCTGTTGATTTATCACTGCTTCAACACTTGCAGGAGAGGCTGGTGGACTTCAGAAACCCTCCTAAAGCTGGGAGGTTTAGGGTCTGAGCTCCACATGGCTGCAGGAGTGGAATGCCTGAGCTCCATCT